CAAATGATTGATTAATAATGATATTAATGTATTTAATATTTGATTGAAAACACAAGATTATATACAACGTAATTGTAATTGAAGACTACAAAATGGAAGCACAGAACAATTTGTAAACCAACCGGCACACTGTATGTATATATATGGAAGATGGCTTGATGTTTTTATGTTTTGTTTGTTTATGTTTGTTTTAAAAACTAATAAAATTTTTTAAAAAATTGCTTTTGGACTGTTGAGCATCCTTCTTACCAGGGCCACAGAGACAAGAATGAACATGAGTGCAGTACACGGGTGGGATGCAAATATTTTTACTACTGGTTCTATAGGCGTGGCTAGGTAGGAGTGTCTAGGTGGGAGTGGCTAGGTGGGTGTGGCTTCTTTTTTTTTGCACACCCCCTCCACCACGCTCTTGTTTTTTTATCTCCTGGGCCTCAGGAAAGCCTCCTGGGAGGCCGTTTTTGCTCTCAGGAGGCTTCCCTGAGGCCCAGGAGGCAAAAAACAGAGCGCGGGGGGGGCACAACACCCCCTGCGCACCCCTTTTTACCTTCCTGGGCTTCAGGGAAGCCTCCTGGGTGAAGCGGTAAGACTGCGAGGAGAATCCTGGAACAGCTGATGGTCGGAACAGCTGATCGTTGGGGGAAAAATACCAGTTTGGATGAACCGGTAGCTGTTTTTTTACTACTGGTTCGGCCAAACAATAGTATTTTTTACGACCGGTTTGTGTGAACTGGGCCAAACCGGTAGAATACCACCACTGGTGCAGTAGTTGTTTCTTTAGAGTATTTATTTATTTGTTTGTTTGTTTGTTTGTTTGTTTGTTTGTTTGTTTGTCAAAAGCTTACAATATAACAGAAACAAGAATAAACATAAGTTTAAATACAAGAAATAGGAACTAATAATTGGGGACAATAGGACAGGGACGGAAGGCACGATGGTGCGCTTATGCACGCCCCTTATAGACCTCTTAGGAATGGGGTGAGGTCAATAGTGGATAGTTTGAGGGCAAAAGAGTGGGGGTTTGAGCAGGTGACAACAGAATCAGGTAGTGAGTTCCAGGCATTGACCACTCTGTTGCTGAAATCGTACTTCCTACAATCGAGTTTGGAGTGGTTTACATTTAGTTTATATCTGTTGTGTGCTCTTGTGTTGTTGTTGTTAACGCTGTTAAAGCTGAAATATTCATTAACTGGTAAGATGTTGTAACATATGATTTTATGTACTATGTTTAAGTCTAATCTTAGTCGGTGTAGTTCAAGGTTGTCTAAGCCAACATTAGTATTCCAGGAAGTGGCGGCCACAGCAGAGAGAGAACAATTTCTGAGCAAGGGCGAAGAGTGGTTCAGAATTTATACCGTGTCACATTTCCAGACTTTCAGTGCATTCCTGTAGGAGCCTCTCACGGGTGAAGAGAAGGCATTCATCTCCTCTGCCTTCCATCCTTCTTGGTGTCCCTTGATGACTTGTTTACATTCCCAGCATTCCTGCTTCTTCCCGAGAGAGACGGGAACCTTCAAGCCACCAACTCAGCCCTGACCGAATTATTTTTTTAAAGCTGGGAATATCTTAGCCAAAATGATCTAGTTAGCTGTGGAATTAGATACTGAAGATAGCATGAGAACAAACTTCTGCTTTCCGCTGGAAAAAGACATGCTTATCCTCGACATATCTTTATAAGTGTAATGAATGTTATTTGTTGGATGACTTCTCCTATAATTCTGCAGCGGCTGCTTCTTCTTTATCACAATAACTGGATTTTTGTGTCTCATTATATTATTCCTCTTGCATTTTTACATGCAACTATCTTTGGTCTTAGTTTCATGAATTAGAGGCCTTAACGGCTTTGCCAAATCCAGAAATATTTTTCAGGAAAAAATGCAAAATGAATAAACAGCTAGGTAGTAAGTAGTAAGATTTCTAAAAGGGGGAAAGGCAAATAAAACCCCGAAGTCAGATCATGTCAACAAGGCAAAGAATGAATGCCTGGGCGTCTCTGCTTTGCTTGGATTATTTGAGCAACTTTCTTAAGCGGGGGGTCTCCAACCTTGGCAACTTTAAGACTTGTGGACTTCAACTCCCAGAATTCCTCAGCCAGCAAAGCCAGCAAAGGCAAAGTCTAGCTGAGGAACACTGGGAGTTGAAGTCCACAAGTCCTAAAGTTGCTAAGTTTGGACAGTCCTGGTTTAGAAACACTGTTTTTGGTTAACTTTTTGTGAGCAGGTAATTCTCAACTTACAATGGAGTTGCAAGTAACAATGGAGCGCAAAGTTTCTGTTCCTGAGTAAGACATTTGTTAAGTGAGTTTTGCTCCTTTTTATGACCTTTCTTGCCAGAGTTGTTAAGTGAATTACTGCAGTTGATAAGTTAGTAACACGGTTGCTAAGTGAAGTCTTAAAATCTTAAAGTTGCCAAGGTTGGAGACCCCTGTTCTAAAGTACACGAGACTCTGGATGGTTCTGAATGTTTGTGAGCAGCCAAAGGAGTGATGACTACCCTAGCATCCCTTTCAGACACATCTGGCAGAAGCAAAACCTTTGGACTTAAAGAAAACGGGCCCTGGACAGACCCAGAATTAAATTTCCTCTTGGCTCGCCTCTGCCATGGCTCGGAGAAGGGGAAATGGAGGCACATCAGAGCCTTCTTAGAGCAGGGGTGTCAAACTCAATTTAACTGAGGGCCACATCAGGGCTGTGGTTGACCTCAGGGGACCAGGTGGGCGTGGCCAACTGGATGGGTGTGGCCAACTGGGTGGGTGTGGCCAGCTTGACCCCACTCCCCAAACTGCTAGCATGTTTCCTCTTCACACACTGGGTAGACCGGGCCGAAGCGATGTGGGCCAATCCCTTATATTTTCCAGGATGGCCCTGTGGGCTGGATTTGACCACATCCTTGTGTGGCCTTATGTTTGACAACCCTGTTCTAGAGCTACAAGAGGCCCCTGGAAGACCCCAATTGAATTGCCCCAGAGCAGTCCAGCCTCTGCCTGCCCCTCCAAGTCATCTTCACATCACTGTATCCACGGCCAGACTGCCTTCCCAACAAGGAAGCTTCCCCTAATGATTGCAGCTGGATGCAAGTTGATGGGAGGGGTTCACACATATACACAAGGGGCCGGAGCCATCCGTGGGGGGCGGGGTTTACTTTGGATTTGCAGACTCCAACTTGACCTTGGGTTCAACATAGATGGGAACTCAGCCACTGTTGTCTCAGCCTTCCGTCCTTCCGAGGTGGGTAAAATGAGGACCCAGATTGTTGGGGGCAAGAGGCTGACTCTGTAAACCCTGGAGAGAGGGCTGTAAAGCACTCTGAAGAGACATATAAGTCTAAGGGCTATTACTGTTGCTATGATATCTATTTCATATTTGTAAAAACCTCAACTTGATGGTGTTTGATGGTGCACTGTTGACGTTACCTACTGGGGCCATGAAACATTTGCAAGAAAGCAACCAAGCTCAGAGAATATCAAGGATTGCACAGTTCAGCCCTGAGCTATAAACAGTCTCTTTCTATTGGTACCCAACTTATTAGGTTAAAATTATTAGAACACTTTTGAAGATTTCAGACTAAGCTCCGATGATAGGCTGACTCTGTAAAATCGCTTAGAAAGAGCTGTAAAGCACTGTGAAGCGGTATAGAAGTCTAAGTGCTATTACTATTGTTTATCTGGGGCGTCGCACATGGTGTTTACCTGAATTCAGGATTTTGCGTGCTGTGTGAATGCTTGTTCTGTGATTCAATGTTTTAATGATCGGCTCTTTCCCTCTTGGGGGGGGGGTCCCATTGGGCCACTTTTGGAGACCGGTTTTTGGACCTTCAGCACAAGCTTCATTCCTGACCCAATCATCTTTCAAAGGATGTCATGCCCCTGTCAGAGTCCAATTCAGAGGTGGAGGCTAAGCAGCTGACAGGGAATGGGAGTGTGGCTCTGGTGGCTGTGGAAGAAACTGGGGAAGGGCAAAGTCCGGCTGGGCAGAGCAGGGAAGAGGTAGAACAAGGGAAGAGGGAGTTCAGAGGAAGACCCAGGCCCACCCCTCTTCAACCATGCAGGGAGGAACGGGGAAGGGAGCAACATGAGTTGCGTGGCTTACGGGGGAGGAAAGAGCCCTGATTCCTTTCATTAGCTGCAGCTAGGAACACAGTGTTTAAAAAGGGAGGTTGCGCACAGCAACTCATTGGAAGCAAATTGTGAGTTATCTTTTATTGTCAAGGCTTGTCTGGGTTCCTGGGCGTCTTCCCAACTCTGTGTGTTTTGTTGGCCTTTGAAGTCTGCAATTCCTTCTCCTGCCCTGTCCAGTTAATTGCTGCAGCTTGTGGTTTGTGTTGGTTTTTATTTACAGTTTATATGTACTTTGTCTTCGGACTGAATTTCCTCCATTTAAAGACTGTTCTTGGGAGAGTTTTTTCTCCAGCCGGAGGTAACTGGACATTTGGGGCAAAGTTGGAGATAATAAATGAACTTTTCTTACTTATGTGACTGTGTTGCCTTTGTGCCATGCCCCAGGTCATCACAAAGGAGTCCTATTAAACACCCAAAGAAAGGAGACCTGGAATTCCCCCACCTGACCCTCAAACCCCCCGTTTCCTCCACGTCACTCACTTGCCATCCGAGAGGTTAATGCCGCGGAAAAGAGGGTAGTTCTCGGGCCCCGGCTTCTCCATGTGGTCCTCATACAGGAAAACCGGGGATCGCCCCAGCTCCACACCGACCTGCTGGATGCCTTGCTCATTGTAGATGGAAATCAAGAAAGCCTGGCCGCCCTTCTTGGCTTTCACCGTGGTCAGGATGGAGAAATCTTCGGGGAACGGAGTCTCTGGAAGCAGAAAAAGGAGCAGAGCAGAGAGTGGGGTCCATTTCTCTCCCAGAGGGAAACAGCAACTTTTGATCTGCAGCCCCAATGGCAGAGTTGGGTTGAAGTCCAACGACAATATCAGGGCTCTGGTGGTTACCCCCATTTTAAATCATGAGTCTCTAGCCAGATTTCCAAAGCTTAAGAAAATTTATTAGGAGTAAACATGCTGGTGCTACTCTGAGCCGACTCTGAGGCACATCATTCACTATCACCCTTGACCCTGGTTTTCCCTCTACCCCCTCCACCTCCATACATGGGTGTATCGTAATTCATATTCTCCAATGGGACACATCCATAGCCAAGAGTCATCAATCATGCTCGCCACTTAAGAATTTTTCGCAGCAGAAACTTCAATCGCCTAGAAACTATCTATGAAAACATTTATGGAATGCACTTTCGGTTTGCAAGCTGCCGCATTGCTCCTCCCTCCCTTTCTGTTGGCAACTCTAAAAGACCAGATAAATATTTTATGAGTTGACAGAGGAAGGCTTGCTTTGAGACTTTAGTCCTCAACTTATGACCATTTGTTTAACGGCAGTTAGAAGTTGCAATACTGCTGAAAAAAGGGACTTACGACCAGTCCTTGCACTTCCACTTACAACCACGGCTGCATTCGTGCCGTCACATGATCCAAATTCAGGGGCTTAGCAACTGGCAGGCATTCAGGGTGCTTGCAGGGTCCGGGGTCTCGTGACCACCATTTGTGACCTCCCTAGCCAGCTTCTGACAAGCAAAGTCAACAGGGAAGCCGGATTAGCTGAATGGCCATGGCAAAAAGGCCGTAAAATTGGGGGTGACCCACTTAACTGCACCACTTAGTGATGGACGTTCTAGTCCCTATTGTGGTCATAATCTGAGGACTACTTGCATTAGTAGCCGTGGTGACGCAGTGGTGAGAATGCAGTATTGCAGACTAATTCTGCCCACTGCCAGAAGTTCAATCCTGACCGGCTCAAGGTCGACCCACCCTCCCCCCGGGGGGGGGTAAAAAAGAGGGGGACCCGGGGGGGGGGGGGGGGGGGGCAAGAGGCTGACTCTGTAAACCACCTAGAGAGTGTCATGTAGCACTGTGAAGCGGTATACAAGTCTATTGCTATTGCTGTAGCTAATTGGAGCTGTGGTGCTGCAGTGGTTACAATGCAGTATTACAGGCTAATTCTGTTGACTGCCAGCAGTTTGATCCTGACTGGCTGAAGGTTGGCTCAGCCTTCCATCTTTCCGAGGTCAGTAAAAAGGACCCAGATTGTTGGGGGCAATAGGCTGACTCTGTAAACTGTTTAGAGAGGGGCTGTAAAGCATCGTGAAGCTGTATATAAGTCTAAGTGCTACTGCTATCTATCTCTATAACTGCCTGCCTGCCTGCCTGCCTGCCTGCCTGCCTGCCTGCCTGCCTGCATCCATGCATCCATCCATGCATCCATCCATCCATGCATCCATCCATCCATGCATCCATGCATCCATCCATCCATCCATCCATCCATCCATCCATCCATCCATCCATCTATCTATCTATCTATCTATCTATCTATCTATCTATCTATCTATCTATCTATCTATCTATCTATCTACTGTGGTGGCACCGTGGTTAGAATGCAGTATTGCAAGCTAATTCTGCCCACTGGCGTCAGTTCAATCCTGACCATCCTTCCGAGGTCAGTAAAATGAAGACCCAGATTGTTGGGGGGCAAGAGGCTGACTCTGTCAACCGCTTAGAGAGGGGTGCAAATCATTGTGAAGAAGCCTATAAGCCGAAGGGCTGTTGCTAGCGCTGGTATGATCGATGGGAAATGCTTCCATGTCCACCCAGACAGGCGCATACAGCACCTCTCCATGTGGACTTAGGATCCTTTAGGATCTCTGAGAAATCCGCCCCCTCCCCAGGAAGGGTGTGGGTCATAGCATTCCAGGTCAAATAGCTGGATGCTTTGCACCGCTGGCAGCATCGAGAGCAGCGACACACCAAGATCCTCAAACTACCAGCTGAGGGAAAGCAAACCTTGTAATTAGCTCCAACTCCAGCCTGCCTTGGCTTGGGCCAGAGAGTCATTTGTGTAGCTACGTGTCACTGCCTCTTCCCCCTCCAGACCCTTTGACTGTCACATTCCCCAATCTGCCGTTCCTTTTCAAAATGCTCTGCAATTACCGCTGTTGTCTTTATCTCCATCCACTCATTCACTTGTTTGGGGCTAAGCTAACATCTAGTTACTTGCAGGAGGTGTCTAATTAAACAAAAGGGGTGGGAAGCCCAGCAAAGCCCAGGCTGCCTCTGAGGGGAGGATAGTTTCGCACACCCGTCCTTTTTCTGCCTGTCCACAACTTCCAGCCCCCTTTTCTTGGCCAAAGCCGAGCCTCAGATTAAGCCGAGAAAATGCCTGGCATCTTGGCCGTTGGATCAAAGCAACCTCCACATTCCTCAGCCTCTTGCCAAAGATCCAGACCCACCCCAAGCGAGGCGCTGCCCCAGCTGAAGAGAAGCGTGGCAGGGCCCCCGCTTTGTTCGGAAAGCCAGCATCTGCCTCGCCCGCCACGAGCCCAGCTGGGGGGGCCTCTGGGGGCCAAGCAGGGCTTGAGCTCACCTGGGCAAAGCAGGAGAGGAAAGAACGGGAGCACCAGGCTCCTTCCAGTGCCCCAGGCTGGCTGTCAGCAGGACACGGGCATCCTAAAGAGCCGCGGTGCCACAGTGGTTAGAGTGCAGCACTGCAAGCTACTTCTGACTGCAATTTGGCAGTTCGAATCTCAGCAGCCTCAAGGTTGACTCAGCCTTCCGTCCTTCTGAGGTGGGTGAAATGAGGATCCAGATGGTTGGGGGCAACAGGCTGACTCTATATAAAGCACTTAGAGAGGACTGGAAAGCACCGTGAAGTGGTATATAAGTCTAAGGGCTATTGCTATCTATCTCTATGTCTGTCTATCTGTCTATTGTCTGTCTGTCTATCTATCTATCTATCTATCTATCTATCTATCTATCTATCTATCTATCTATCTATCTATCTATCCATCCATCCATCCATCCATCCATCCATCCATCCATCCATCCATCCATCCATCCATC